TGTATTACTGATTTCAAGTAAAACTAGTCTTAATACATATTCTATGAAAAAATTGCTCTCAAATTCAATTTTTTAAGCATCAAAAAGTCAGTGTGAGCTTTATTTCTGCCATAAGGATCTATGTAATTTAGAAGCTTCAATCACTTATTTCTCAAAATAGCAAAAACTGCTTTCATGCGTCTTGTCCTTCAAGCCCCTTAAATAAGGATACTTCATTGATATTTAAAACTGAAAAGGCCAAAATTCAATAAAGCTTGATGCTTGTATGTTTCGAAATGATGGCACCTATTGTGATGCAACACTTGCCTCGGGCAAGCGTGATGGTAACCGGTGAACGACCATTTTTCATCGTTAGCAATTTCTGAAGTGTCCCGATTACTTGCGCGTAGATTCTGATAAGAATCGCGCCCCAAAACCCGCGGGAGGAAGCATCGATAAATTCCTGCAGACGACAAACAGTGCTGCCGATTTCGGCTTTATTCCTTCTTTTCACTGGTAACATGTTTCTGGAGAGAATCATATTAGTAAGAAATGTTCTACGGCTTCAGAAATTGTGTTTAATTCGATTTCGGCACTAAATATTACTTCATTCTGGATTTGTCTCTGGAAATTAGATCCACTCCCCCGCCATAAAGAAATTCTGAGAAAAACGTTTTCAGAATTTCAAATATTTTTAATGTTCAAAATTTAGCAATTTTACCCCCCTGGCGCATTCATTGAGTTAACTGATGATGGAGATGTTGCATGTGTGAGGAATTGGCAATTTGACTATTGATTCTTATGTAAAAGTTTGCGAGAAACACGTTGGTGCCACTGGTTTTCTCTGAAATCAACTCCCAAGCTCAAAAAAAGCTCTGAAGTTGATGCCAAAATGGAGGGGCTATCACACGCTATCCTGAGAGTCCACCTCTACATCAAGACAAAATCTCCATGCAAAAATATATGGAGCAAATACATTAGCAGGGATGCCACTTTATTTGGGGACTCTAAAACTGAAAACACGGCATCCCTGCTAATGTATTTGCTCCCTATCTTCGCATGGAGAGTTTGCCTTGATGTAGAGGTGGACTCTCAGAATAGCGTGGGATATCCCCTCCATTTTGGCCTCAACTTGAGAGCTTTGTTTGAGCTTGGACCAGAGAAATTGGGCCATTTCAGAGAAAACCAGAGGCACCATCGTGTTTCTCGCGAACTTTTACTTAAGAATCAACAGTCAAATCGCAAATTCCTCACACATGCAAAATCTGCATTCATACCTTTGTACTCACTTTATGAGTGGACCGGCAACCACGGAGAGACACGCGCGTGTGCAGAAGAGCCCATGCACTTTGCACTTGGTGCCGTAAATAAAGGCGATTTTAATTATGACGCCGTGGAACAAAGCACGAGTCATTGCAGCGAATTTACGGCTCTGTCCCCCATTTCTGCTCCCCGATAAACCTAGCCAGCACCCACCCTCACCGTGAGATGATCAATTTTGTGCAATAATCACTATGATTTTTCGCGAGGGCGCTGAACCGTAAAGTGATTTACGACCCTCTCTTCGCCAGGCTGAGTTTTCGCATCGGACACCCGATAGAAAAACGGCTTCGCGATAATGGAATTTGATCGTCGGATCGTAAAGATGAGATCAAAATGCCAATGATATACATTACGCAAAATCACGCTTTTTTTCAGAAAAGTTATGAAACCTTCTAGAAATATCCAAGCGGCCTCGTGAAGGATGACGGCATGTCAGATCTACTGATGGTGGTTTTAACGGTTTCTTTGAAAAAAGAAAATTTTAACACAGGGGACGGCTCTCATGACATGAATGCGTATACATAAGATTAAATAATAGATGGCGTAATGTGGTCGAATTTTTGTTAGAAGACATTGATTTAATAAGAAGGCGAGAAAACGATAATACAGTAGCGATGTCGAAACATGTCTTTCCTTAAGCTGTTAAAGTCGCAGAAATAACGTATTAGCAGATATATAGCCAGAATTTTTTACGTCATTCATATGAGTTTTATAAAAGAATTATTTTTGAAAAATACTTCATTTTATTTGAGCAAAATTTTTCCGGAAGAGCAGGCATTAAAACAGAAAATATGATTGAAAAAAATTGGCCCCACGTTGGAAAAGGAAAACGAGAAAAGTTTAATTATTTATTTATTTACTGTTATTTTCTTTTCTTTCTTTCTTATTCGCTTGTATTATCGAGTGGTCATTGGCACTGACCAGTAGCGATCAGTAGCACTAATTACAATACCGGAAAACAATTCTACCAATATTTGACTGAAAGATAATTTTTTCAAAAATATTTCCCTTAAGAAGGGAGCAGGATTATTGAAGCATTAGCTTGGGACTTTCTCACGAGGTTTCGATCAAATCGACAATGGATTCTTTGCACGAGTTGTCATGAGTAAAGCAGTTGACGGGTAATGAAAGGCGAAAAAAAATGAAAGAAAAAAACCCTTTCGTTAATTAATTACCTGCACATGCCCGGTATACGCGCATGCGCCGCGGGTATGTGATTAAGTCGCCGTTAACTGTTGGAACTGTTGCCAGATCACAGGCTGCGAAAAATTATTATTCGCAATACGTTTTTGCGACACGACAGAGAAGCATAACATTGAATATAAGGGGTGCGCAAAAAGTTGTCAAAATAGGGGGAGATATTACTCTAAACTACTAATTAAAACATGAGAGAGCAGTGCTCTCTCGTTAACAACTGCACCAATCTAAACATAGCTTTTTCACGGGAGAAGGGAATTAATTCAAAATCCGGGAATATGATACACCTGTCCAGTGTCCATGGGATGAATCAACATTTTCTAAGGGGCGAGTTTCATTTTTATTTTATACCGGTTGGAATCAGCTGAACATTTGATGGCAAAAAACGTTATTTGGTAAATCTGAGTGATGTTTAACGAAGTCACTTTTCGAAAACCGGCAGTGTAGGGTCCCTATTCACTGGATCTTTCAACTCCAGGGTGTCTACTGAAACAGGCTGGTGAAAAATAAGTACTTTTACAGTACTTTTTCAGTACATTCTCAAGAAATTCAGTACCTCCTCCGACAGACAAATTCCGTACTTTTTCAGTACCTCCATTTGACGACATTCGAAAAATTTCAAAAATTTGAAATTGCGGCAAAAATGACAAAAAATTAAAAAAAATTCGGACCTTTTGGCGGAATTTCCGGACTTTTTCAGTACTTCCGGACCGCCCTTAAAAAATCAGTACTATTTCCGGACTTTCCGGAAATTCCGGACTTGTAGACACCCTGAACTCTAAACGGAACACTGGAGAAAAAACACATTGGATTTAGAGTCCAGACTCATGAAAACATTGACAAGAAAAAGGACTCTTGATTCAATCAGATTTAAGCTTAAATCAAAAGGAAATCCGCTCAAATTAAGAGGATTGTTTCTTAATCTAAGCTTAAATCTGATTGAATCAAGAGTATTTTTTCTTGTCGATGTTTTTAAGAGTCTGGACTCTAGATCCAATGTGTTTTTTTTTCCAGTGTATCCAGCTTTTGAGCTTCGATGTTTTTCGACAGAACAATTGCAACTCAGCAACCTCTTTGGCGAAAACAATCAAGTCAGCGTTGCCAGCGGATCTGTAAAGGGAGCAGTGGCGTAGCGAGAATTGCGATAAATCGATTGTTATGCCATTCAAACCTATGGTAAAGAATCGAGTATTAAGGTGTTCGCTGCGAACACCCTGTTCATCGATCTTCTTCCATAAGTTTAAATGGCATAACAATCGATAAATCGCAAAGCACGCCACGCCACTGAAAGGGAGCCTGGAGGCTCTGAGCGGACTCAAAGTAGGGGCGCGATCTCCAAACCAAGAAAAGGCAACGATCAATCACCTCACCTCACCCTGCCCTCCGATCGACTACCAATGCTCAGCGCCCCGCTGCTGGCTTCTTCGGCGCCTTGATTGGTTTTCAGTCGGGCCTCGCAGCTAATTAACTAATTACGCTTTGATACGTCGCGCTTGCGTCTAAGTCTCCCGGCTAGAAACCCGCTCTCTCGCCCGGAAAGTTGTTCAACTCAGTCGCTCAACTGATATTTTAAAGGCACTTTAAAGTTTTGAATTAAATTTGCATTTTTATTAGACTTTAACGATCTTATACTGAACAATAGGTCGACTGGAAACGTCAGCTACCGCAGAATTGCCGCTGGGCCAACCAGGGGTTCCTGCTTGGACAAAGAGTTATCCTTTCGGATTCTTTTCACGTGTTTGGTCCATATTTTTAAGTCTGAGGTTGTTATTCTATGGTAGTATGTAATTTAATTATATGAGAAATTTTAGGTATGGTAGTAGGCAGCCCGAAAACATGACGTGATAAAAACATCAATTAAAACGTGCGAAACAAGGCTGAAACAATAAATCAACGCAGGACGTTAAATTAACTATATCTAGCTCTGATAATTAGTTCTGAATTTTGAGAAAAATTAACCGTTTTTGGCATTGAATCAGTAAGAACGAAAACACACCAACTCGGAAAAATGAAAATAATCTAGACACACAGAAAACTGCACGGTGGGTGAAGAAGTTAGTTAAAGAAAAAGATTTTTGCTGCTGAAAGACAAGTGCTTATGGACACTTCAAAGGTTCAAGTTGGAACAGACGCGCTAACTTCAATGGCTTTTACGTAAGTTAACTGTTTCAAATGGAAATTGAGCATTTTCGAGTTACCGAGTTGGTGTGTTTTCGTTCTCACTGATTCAATTAGTAATGTGACATGTCTTTAAGTACAATAAAGATAAACGACTCAAAAACACAAATTGCCATTGGCAGCAATTCCGATCATTGTATGTTGATTCATAATTCAAGAAACCCTCATGTCAGTTGCTTGCGGCTGTCAGGAGGTGGACTGGCCGGCCGTCTGTTCCTGGCACATGCGAACAGTAGTTGCCTGAACTTGCTTTTCTCCCCACTTTCAAATAAAGAAGGGGGGAAAACAATTCTAGAAATGAATTTTGAATGATAATTACTCACCTGCCCGAAGTTGCCCTGTCCAAGGACCGTTTGTAGGCGAAGTTTTTCCCGCGGGAACTCCCATTTCGAGCTCGGTGTAGGTACGATCGTCAGTCCGCCAGTTTTCTCCATTTCCCAACCCTAGAAATAACGTCATATTATGTTAATAAAGGTCGAGACACATCCAAAGGCAGATCTCTTTTGGTTTGACTTATTACCGTACTATTCATCATTACTTTATCTTGGAATTTTGGTATTGTCCATTCTACAAATCCTACAGCACATTTACTCTGCATAAAAACGGCGCATGTTTTTTACACCATTCTGAAGGCTTGTAATGAAAAGTTTGAGGCCTCTGTTGGTTATAAGACATTTCGTCAACGATTTTTTGTCCGAGCACTTGTTTTTTCCAGTAGTTTAAGTCCACGCGTTTTTTCGACAGGGGAGTTTTGGTCCAGTTACCAATTATTGAGACCCAAAGTTAACTGGTCAACATGTAAATACAAACAACATTTGCTCACGACGTTTTTGGATGAAATGTGTAATGCCTTGGAAGAATGAGGGTTTGCTCGTTTTTTGTTTGTTTGGTTGGCCAAACGGAAACAAATATATAATTGAGAATTTTGGCGTCAATTCCATGCGGGAAAATTCACGAAAACTCTCTACACCTCTTTGGTGCAACAGCACTTAATTAACTTTCAAGAAAATCCCATCTTCTTGTACCTGAACTGGATGAACCTTTTGATTTTCCTCAGCTAAAGGCTCTTAGATTTTGTCATTCTTGGTACGTTGGGGCGCCTTTAATCTCGTATGATACTGCGCAACACCTACGTCCCGAAATAGTTGCTTGAAACGCCGTAGCACTCCGCGGCGCGGCGCGGCGGGCGACCAGCGTGACAAGCGCCTAGGCGCCTACAAACCTAACAGGGATACTTCACGCATTGCGCAACGCGTGAAGTATCCCGTTAGGTTTGTAGGCGCCAGTGCGCATTTTGCTCTGTGTTAGGCTCTCATATTTAAACTCACGGAGTTAGCGTTTTTCAACTCATGATTTTGAAATGTTTGCACGCTCTGCGCGGATTATTCTCATTTAAATTGATGAAAAAAAGAAGAAAAAAAATAAAAATGTATTAAAGGAAAATATAACGAGTGTTTTAAAAATATGAAGGTGGTCTCGTGTTTAATTTAATTTTATAGTTTGTGCTTTTACTGTGCTGCAGCGTGGTGTATTCGCAACCAAAGGCTCAAAATTGGACGTGTTTGACTAAACAAGATCGATGTTAAAGTGGGTTAAAACCACCAAAGATTGCGTCCTCCTCGGTTTTTTCTCTCTCTTTTTCATTTTTCTACCGTTCTTTTAAACACAAGTACGGCTCATTGAGATTAATATCGACGCCATCGCTTGGACAAGGTTTTACAAATATTTGCCACGTTTTAAAAATATAATGGTTTTATAATGAAGTAATATTATCATTTAAAAAAGGTATATATATATATACGGTATATTTTAAATCGACACTTTTATTCACCAATGAAAATTTGAAAGATGAATCAAAAGAAGAAAATAATATTTCATTTAAAAAATGAGTTACCATCTCACCTTCTTCTCTCTCAATTTTCTAATTCGATATTGTCAATATAATTTTACATACGGACTGAAATATAACCTTTGGACCGAGTCACTGTTTCTTACTTTACGAGTGGACGTAAAATACTGGACTAAACAGGTGCCCGGACAAAAAATCGTTGACGGAATGCCTCTGTTAAATACACATGTTTTTGACTGTTATATGATTCGTCAAATTAATTTTCTACCTTCTCAATTGTTTTGTTTGTTTTTCTTTCATGTCTTTTTTCACTGTAATTCTTCCTATTATAGGTCAAATATATATAAGAATTACTAATGGCCACTTACTAAATGCTGCGGTACTCTTGGAAGTTTCGTGGTCATAGGAGATGACGTCACCAGTCCGTTAATCTCTAGGGGACTTCTGTTGTATTCGGATGAATACTCCGAACCATCGAATACCTGCAAAAAAAAATAAGAGAATGGAAATATTTCCAAAATGGAAGTAGTATTTTGTAACCAATAGCGAAATATTTTTAGGAATGTTTTCTATCGAGGAACAGGATCTTTACCGTGACTCAGCTTTGTGATCACCACCTATAAGTCTTTGAATTGACTCGAGACATCTAGAGGACCCATTAACAAAGTAAAGGTAATATCCAAGTGTATAAATTTTCATGTAGGAATCAGCTCGTCCTTTCAAGACCAAAATTGGACACCAATTTGCTCAATAATCATACCAGCCTCAACTGCACGGCAATAGAAATGATCGGAACCTTATAGACTTTTCACTACATTTGGTGTCAATTTAAGGGTATTTATGTGCGTAGGCCCTCTTTCTTCTTTTCATTTCAGTTAACTTGCTAACCAAGTAATTTTATGTTTCGCCCTTTGCTTTTCTTTTCTTTTCTTTTCTTTTCTTCCATTCATCTAGTAATTTACAACAGTCAAAAGTGCTATTAGAATTTTAAGTAGTCTTAAGAGGTATAGTAAATTGTAAAATGACCCACTTTGGTCTGCACAATGCATTGTAACGTTACGCCAATTGTAATGTACTGAAGAAAGCATAAAGAAAAAAAGATTAAGGACAAAATGTGTCACCTTTTCTTTGTCGATTTCTAAAGTTAGCTCTGCCATGAAACCAGCCAACTCTACAACATTATTTAATTTTGATTGAAGCGAATTTTTTTTAAAGTCTGAAGAGAAGATGAAAAAAAATTCTTCGCGAGAAGAACCAACTTACCTTCTTTTTATTGTATCCTAGTATAAGCCTGGCAACGACAACAGCTCCCAGAATAAGCGGAACCATGGCGATGAACGCGAGCACATACGTGAAAGTGCCAAGACCATCAGGATATATGGGTCCGGCCTCCTCCAGGGGCTGAAGAACCGTGGTGTTCTTCGCGTTCACCACGGCAGGGAACGGATATTTCGTCGTCGTCAACTGCGGCGGGTCCGTAGTCTGCTCCCGGAAGAAGTACTGCGGCGGGGTCACATTATCCGGCGTTGCGTGGATCTCATACACGACGGACGTGAAATTATCCTCACTCTCAATCGCTTCAGTCACCTCTGGCTGAGGCGAGGGTGTCGTCTTTGGCGTATCTCTTTGGTGTGATGCGGTAAGCATTGGATCGACGGAAGTCCGCAGCAAGGAACTATCGAGGTAGCTGCGTTGCGTCTGCTCGCCGCTAGGGGTCTCTGCCGTGCGCGCTGAGGCCGGTTTCCCCGTGACCACGGTTGTGGAGGTGCGACCGAAGCTCCTCTCGGTGGCCCCTGGACTCCGCGAGGCGGCACGAGTGGTGGTGTCGCGTCTTGGGGTCGAGGAGGTCAGCGACGTCACCCTGGTGGAGATCTCCGACCCGGAGGTCACCTCTGCCGCGTGGGGCGCCTCGCTAGAATTCGTCGTAGACGGTTCTACCTCGTAATGGTAAAGCTTGTCGTCAGACTTGGACTTATTACTAATGTTCACAATCTCGTACACGCTGGAAACTTTCGGAGGCTCGTTATCGTCGGAGTACTTGTGATTGGACGCCTGCACGTCCGTACTGGTTTCATTATCGGTGACGGGCTCCATGCTGAGGCACTGCTTGTACTCGTCGGTGTGCTGGAACGTTCGTCGCTTCAGGATTTTGGCGCAGTCGATTCTCGCGGCTGCGAGCACGGGCGACGGTGCCGCAGCCTTGCGGAAGAGACCGGCGATACTGGAGCCTCGCGAGCGCACGCGCAGTTTCGGCGCTGAATTCCGCTCGACGGCCTTCCGGTCCAGCGTGACGTCCATCTCGTCGTGGAGGTCGTCCTCCGTCCGAGCGGTCGTCGAGGAGGGCCGCCTCGCCCGTTCTGGAGAGATCTCCAAGGAGTTCACTCCACTAGGAGGCGCCAACTTGCGGCCGAAATCTAAGAACGGCATGATGGCTTCTTGCGGCACCTCCTGGTCGATCGGCCGGAAATGATTGTAGAGCGAGTAGGACATCGTTTGCGGGAAGACTTCCGTGGAGACGGATGTGGGTATCGTGCTGGAGATGCGGCGTTTCTTGCTGCGGCCCTCCCAGCCGGGCGAGGATTCGGTGGTGTGGAACAGGGGGACGATGGAGCCTCGGTGGCGTGCGGGTGTGACCTCGGTGGTGTTGCGCTCTCTTGTCGACAGAAGGCGCTCCTTCCGTTTGGGAGTCGGGTCCGCGAGTTTGTCCCGCGAGGTGGGCGGGTCCGGGGCTCGACGTGCGGTGGGCACCTCGCCGGAACAAAGCTCGAGCCCTTCGCAGCCGAGCGTCTCCGTGTCGTCCAACTTCTCGCTGGAGACCGCCTCCTTTGTCTCCATGGAGGCGGATTCCCGGGACTTGACGACAACGTTCTTTGACTCCGTTTGTTCTTCGCGGCTCTCGATCTGCAAACAGATGAAACAATATGCATCCACACTATAAGAAAACAGGATATTTCTAGTGATATATAATTAAACCCTCAGACCTTTACCTCTTACCAATTTTTTGCATAAGAAGCAAACAGTGAGCTGATTATTGTAATTGATGGACGAGGCTATAGACAGGGATGACATAGGACGAATGCAACGATCCCACTGGTGCAAAAGGGTGGTTGCAATGGACGAAGGTGCAGGTAAGTAATAGACTAAGTAACGGCAACCGACAGAAGACAATACAGTTAGTCCATCATTTCCCACCTTCGTTTATAAGAACCGCCTTTTTCAAGCGATAGGATCGCTCCATACTTTCTATGCCTTCTTTGTCTATAGCTTTGTCTATCAATTTCAATAATCAGCTCTCTGGACGGTTTAAACAAGAGATGCCTTTCTACGTTGGGAGTTTTTAAGACTGGTAAGGTTCTTTCTGGTTCGTAAGTACAAACCAATGTTAGAGAATCTTAACTAACGAAGGTATGAACACCTTTAGAACAGAGTTCCTGTGACAGTTAATGCACAAGCCAACTTCTTCACACTTTCTGTTGGTGCCTCGAAGATAACCTTATACCGCAATCACACGCTGAATGTGGGAGCTGAATGTGGCTTGAATGTGGAAGTCGTCGGTCCGATGCCTGAATTTTGCGCTTGTCGCGCATAATTCAGCAACATTCTCAGCGACCAGCGGATTCCATGGTGTCGGATTTGTCTGAACTATTCGAATAGATTTGATACACATCTGGATGAAAATAACTCGAATTTGCAAAATTTTAGCTGTTGAGCGATGACTGTTGACGTCAATATTCAGGTGCCAAATTCAGCGTGTGATTCCGGCATGAGTTGGAAAAGGGGCACTCCAATCTTTCTACGAATATCTTCAAATCGATTTAAATAGCTGCTCACCTCAGTCCACGAGCGGAAGTTTTTGCCGATTTTGTTCTGCTTCTCTTTGGAGTGGTAGAGAGCGCTGGCGTTTGAGTTGAGGTAGATCATCTCCGGGGGCGCCTCGTCGTCTAGCGGCGGTAGCGGCGGGCCGTGGCCGTTCTGGTGGGCGGCGGCCGTTTTCTTGAGGCGCCCACCGACGCCCGCTCCGGCGCCCACCCCGCGCTCGTTCTGCCTCCGCCACCGGACGCCCAGCTTCCCTCTGTAGTTGGTCGGCACTCGCTTGATCGACCGGTGCCGCGTCATCCGGTCGTACATCGGCTCCAGGCTCATCGACTCGCCCTCTGAAACAAATTCGAAATGAGGAAAATTAGAATAAGTTTGTGGCCTTGAAATCAAAGTTTCTAGGAAAAGTCAAGTGCCAGGAATGGGAAAATTCCCGGAAAAAAGCTTGGTAGTTCTAGAGTTGGCGAGAGTATAGACGGATGTGAAACTCCGAAAATCCATCAGGCCTTTACCGATGCCCCCGCGAATAAAGTTAGGGCCCAGAAATGCAGCCAACCTATGAATTTCAATTATCCAGAGAAATTTACTAATACAGTTATTAGGAACTGTAGTTTATAAAGCACGTATTTGACTTAGTTTTTGCGTAAATGCACTAATTATTGCGGAAGAACGCTCATTTATGTACATTCTTAGCCATCTTGGTTCGAATTAGAATCTGCAGACTGGCGGTGAAATTTTGTGCGTTAGAAGTTGGTAAGAAGGGTGGCTGCACTTTTGGGCCCTAAGCCCTCCATGAAGCGATCTTTTCATGCTCTCACTATATAGGTACTCTAGGTAGTTCTACCGTGATAGCGAAGAGAGCAGTGAGTGAATGCTGGGATGAACCTCGAGACACATAAAAACATGTGCTAACCATGGCTCATACAGAAATTCACTGCTCTCTTTGCTATCAAGGCAGAGTTCCTGGTGACTTTTCAAAGTGATAGTGATTACCGTAAGGGTGTGCCTGTGCGTGTGCAAATGTAGGGGTTTGCTGGTCAAAGTTTCGGGGAAGAGAAAATGTTTGCCGGGAATTCCCGAGAGCTTTCCCGGGAGAGCAAATTTTCTCCTGAATATATTGCCGGGCCACAAAAACTGTCAAGAATAACTGCCTTTCTGAACATGCGTTTACTGGAAATCAGGAAGTGGCTGTTAGCACGAATGAACTTTCATTTAAGTCTAGTGCATGTGATGGATAAAAAGCGGATACGTTTTACGATCAGTGATCGACGTAGCTTTAAATTAACCTCAAATGAACCCTGCCCTGCCGCGCCGAGAAAGAGCGCGAGGCACCGGCACCACATCCGAACGGAGCTCGGATCAATTCCGGGAGACGAAGTAAAAAATATGCTCATAAGTCACGGCATGCAATTGCGCGGTTGAAGTGCGGTTTCTACTTCCTGTTATTTCGTGTTAAGGTCGATTAATGCTTTAAATGCAAAAAAAAATATAGATAAAACTAAAATGAATACATTTAAAAAAGAAAGGCTTAAGGTTTCTAAGAATGAAATACACTGGAAAAAAATCGCTTGGATCTAGAGTCCTGACTCTTGAAAACAATGGCAAGAGAAAATATTCTTGATTCAATCGGATTTTTGCTTGAATCAAAACGAAATCCGCTTAAATTCAGAGGCTTGGTTCTTAATTTAAGCTAAAATCCAAGAGAATCAAAAGTATTTTTTCTTGTCAATGTTTTTAAGAGTCTGGACTCTAGCTCCAAGCTACTTTTTTTCCAGTGCATTTGTGTGTATATAAAATGTGACCGTTGTAATTCTATATTTTTGGTTTTAATGGGTCGGTTGCGCTGGTCACAGAATTGTGTTTGGGTGCTTGATTCCTGTTGATCGACTAAAAATTATAAGATCCATCCAAACAGCATCTTTCTACGTTCAATACTAACGGAGATATCGCCCTTTGAAAAGTCGGGTTTTGACGTCATTCACATTGGTAATGATACCCTCGGTTTCTTCCACCTTGCTTTCATCCGAGTTTTACGCTAAGTAACTGCTGCAAATGTGCGTCACGCTAACTTATGAAAGCAAGGTGGAAGAAACCAAGGGTGTCACTACCGCTGCGTGGATGCCGTCAAAAATCTGACTTTTCAAAGAGCGATATCTCGGTTAATATTGGACGTAAAAAGTTGTCGTTTGGACAGAACTCATTATTGTCAGCTAATTTACAAGAATCAGACTTCAAAAACACGATACTGTGATCAGTGGAACTGACCCATTCTTTGTGATTTTTGTGGTACTCGTGAAAACGTATTCGCTCTTGCAATCAAAGAATATCTCTCAAAGAGTAGCTCTCTTGAAAGCAACGACCTCTGTTTACTGCTTTTTTTCTACCCCTCAATCTGACAACAGCATACGTAGCCGTCCACTGAGATGCTCTTAGATGCTCGCCGCGACATGGTACCCGCAGTCAAGCGCTAGATTGCTGACCCGATAAACGTTGCGCTGCCACAAACGCGAATATGATGTAAATTGGCCGCCACCGTTTGCCGAAACCTCTTTTTGCACACAGCAATTCAGCCAAACCCGCGTTGTCACACAGAGCATACATTTGATGGCATTTCAATGAACCATGCTCCTCTGGATCTTAAGAAGTGTGTTTAGCAACTCGGAAAGTTAAAAAAAACCAGTTTCTTTCTTTTTTGCGCACGCTGAGTAAAATTAAAGAATAAATTTCTGCATAGAAGATGTTTAAAAATTAAAATTATTTTCGACAAGTTCTTGAAGCTAATAAAACATATGTCTGAGGTTTTCTGAAACAAGGTAGATGAACGGAATCAATTTTTTTCCAGTAGGTTTCTCTTCCTTTTTTTGAATAATTCTTTGTTAATACTCCTGTGTTGAACATTAATCCAAATAATAGTGTCAACGTATGCCACACTTACATAAGAGAACAACTCTGCGAACAAAGCAATTGAGATGTTACACGGGTGATACCACTATTTAAACTCGTGAAGGGCCCGTTTTGCATACACAATGAAATAAAGGCGAATTGTCGTTTACGGTAGATGAACTAACCAATGTATTAGCGATTACATTATTTGTTCCGTATGAGCAAAGAAGTGGCAAGCAATTGCCTCACTTCCCACTCCCTGATGATTTGAGAGTTGAACAAATTAAGCACTTGGAGTAACAGCTGAAACGTTGAAAAATAGTCAACGATACGATCTTGTATTCCTCACAGCGGTGTGACTATGGCGCTTTTTACCTCCATTTATTAATATACGCAAAAAGACGAACTTTGAGTCGTCTGAGCTGTATCATCCACGAACCACTGCCTGTATTTTTGTTTCATTTTCACGTTTTAGTTACAAACCCATTATAAATATTTTGAGAATTTCCTGTTTTAAGATTACTCTTAACCCTTCATCAAAATTTTGTCGACGATATGAAATTTTATTCAACGGTAAGTTCATTAATACCTTGACAAAGTAAACAGTGATTGAAAATCCTCAGTACATGCAGATATTGAGGTTTTATAAGAACAGGCTGGCCAAAAATCAGTACTTTTACAGTACTTTTCTAGTACATTCCCAAGAAATTCAGTACCTCCTCAACAGAAAAATCCAGTACTTTTTCAGTGCCTCCATTTGAGGAAATTCGGAAAATTTCAAAATTATGAATTTTTCGCCCAAAGCGACAAAAATGAAAAAATTCCGGACATTCTATAGGAAATTCCGCACTTTTTTAGTGCTTACGGGCCGCCCTTAAAAAATTAGAACTTTTCCCGGAAATTCCGGACTTGTAGACACCCTGTTTATCCTTTAAAAAACCAAAACCTTCCGCAGCTCATCGTTAACTAAAATGTCACATAAACAAGAGAATATTCTGTTTTTATCGGGAAGCAATGTAAACACTGTAGAAGGTATTTTTGCGGCGATTTGCGGAACACCCAGTGAATTCAGTTACTCAAGAGGAGCATAATGCCGCGCTATGACATCAGATCGAAGGTGGAGATTTGGGTTCGGTCACGGTTTCAGTTTGACTACTCACCTTTGAGCTACACTTGCGAGGTATGATGTATGCCGAGATATACCCACTTAATTGATTCGGTTAGGTAGGAGCAAAGCTGAGCGGGAATCGAGATAAGGCTACATAATCCCTGCTGCAACCGAAGCTCGCTTCATACACAATGAATCGTGGGTGGACGCCTGGACACAAAGGAGTTTGTCATTTTGGACCGATGATGTTGATTTCAGAATGCGCTTTATGTGTAAAAGAGGCTTGTGCAAAAACGACTTAAAATGAGTGACGGGACGAGATCTTAAGGAAAAATTGGCTTAAAATTGGTGATAAGAACCTACGGTCCCGTCGCCGCGGAAAAAGGTAGATCGGGAGGCTCTACAGCGCTAAGGTCCCGTCGCCGCGGAAAAAGATAGAAAATGATGCTCTACAGCGCTGCCGTGCTACGGAAGAACGCCGTAAGAACATTCGAGAGTTGCCAAATTTCCTTCGATAAAATGTTTATTTTTTAGGAAAGTTATGAATGTTTTTCCATTAAATTTTCAAAATATTTTCGTATAATTGCGAACTAAATTATCTGAAAAATTTAGAGGAAAATATTAATAAATTTACCAGGAAATCCGCGTTTTATCAAAGGAGATTTTGCAACGCCTGGAGGTTCATACGGCGTTTTTCATTGGCACGGCAGAGCGAGCATTAGGAGTTTTAGTCGCTTCGGAGACTTTAACGCGTGGATAGAAATGTTGGAGACGCGCGCCGGTGATGGAGGAAAGCTCTACGTTCGACATTAGCTCAACTATGATAGATTGTGTTCCCATCTCTGGTAGTGCATCACTCATACATATAGTCAAAAGTCTCGTCATAGTATCACAGATCATGAATATTTTTTTTTTTTTTGGGGGGGGGGCGAAATATTGACACATTATTGTAAAACCCTCAAATCATAAGCTAAAATTCCTTCGTTTTAGAATTACGTAATGATAGGGCACAAAATATCATCAACTTTCAACATTTTAGTGAGCGGCGCGAAAAATGTGTTAAGTTCGAAAAATTAACACGACTTGAATTCTCTCTTGTGTTGAGAAAAAAATGACGAGGTCAATACTTTAGACTTAATTTTGGAGCAACCCACGTTTGATGAAAGACTTTTTCAAATCAGTCTTGCTGCTTGCGTAGCACGCAAAATTATCATCATTGGTAATATCATCACCACTAATGCGCGCTGATGACATTACGTAATTAAACAGCCATTTTTTTAAAACCCTGCATCGATGTTATATTCAAAACAAAACAGAAATTTAATTTAGCATCTTAGCATAGTTCAA